CAGTTTATATGGATAGTTTTTATTTTTTACAACAACAAGCTGCAATGAAAACAAGAAACAATGAAATAAAAGTAACAACTTTATACTTCTTGTCTTTTTTAAAATGTAAGGAGTAAAAAGTACGCTGAAAAATAATTACCCAAGTAAAGTCCTGATACACAAAAACTCTACTTAAGTGCAGTAACAAAGTATTTGTATTTAGTTACTTCACAACTCCACTGGTTTTATTTTGTGAATTAAATCTATCTTATTTCATTTAAAACCTCACAAACCTGCTTCTTTGTGCTCCTGAGGAGAAATGTCCTCCTGCTGTCAGAAAAACTTCAACGTTTTAATGACTTACCTTTTTCTTATCTTATTAAAAAGAAGTATTACCTGTACTTGAGTAAAATGTTGACATACCACAGTAACTATACTTTAGAGTATTTATTTTATACTCTTACATCTTTAGACTTGAGCAGCACAGAAATGAGCTTTCAGCTCACAGTAATCCTGAACATTAAAGCAGAGGAAACACTAAAAGTTTTAAAAGTATTTTTGTTTCTCAGCTTTAGAAAAGTCTCTCTGTTAATATTAGAAATAAACTGAACAAAAAACTAGTTTATATGTTATAAAACATTCAGGTTTATACAGTGATTATAAATAAAAGTATTTTCCTGTTTCTTCTTTTACACTGAGTCCTTTGTGTCATTAAATCCTTGTAGAAAGAGTTTAATGAGGTGACGTCAGACTGCAGCTCCTGTCACTTCCATGATGTAACTGAAGCTGTTCAGCTCCTCTGCAGCACAGCTAACAGTCAACAGGATCACTCTGAACATCCTGGCTCTTATACAACCGCTCGTTACAGAAACAGTCAGGCAGCTGCAGGAAGACTTAAAGTTTTTATTATAGAAACTAATCAGTTCTTTCTTAAAGACACGAGTTCACTTTATCAAACTCATGAATGATTTAATAAGTTTTCTTTTCATTAAACTGTTGTTTGTACAGTGAGTCAGCTCAGTCCACTCATCTAATGATTTTATTTAAAAATTATATATATATACAGTACTGTCAGAGAGAAAACAGTGTTTAAACTCATTCTGAAAAAAGAACATTACATCATTATTATTATAATACTTTTATTTTTGGTAAGATATGTTT